ACCACACACCCACACCCGCACCCACACCCCACACCCGCACCCACACCCCACACACCCACACCCTCATCCACATTCTGTATGTAGCGAGAAAATGTATGGGATTTATCTCAAAGTGCTTACGAAGTTATTGAAAAATCCCAATAAATCCCGAAAAAATAAGTCCCGGTAGCTGCTGGCTTTATCATATGCAAAACAAAATATACTCAACATAACATTCGATAAAATTATATTGTCGGTTATTGCCCAAGCTGAAAAAAAAATCAATATGGATCCAACTGCTTCACTTGATAATCTTCCTGCGCTTGTGACACAGGTGTGTCTTTCCGGTGCCAACATTATCGTTCTTGAAAATGCTATTATTAATGCTCAAAGTGAAAATATGAAGAATTTTCTACGACATGTTATTGTTGAACTAGGTATATTTTGTTTTTTTTGTAATAAAATAATATTCAATTCTTTTATCCTAGTCTAATTGATTGAACCTGATCTGCACGTGGGACATCAATTCATGTTAGAATATGCAAAACTAAGTTCTAAGATCATTAGCATGCAATTATTATGAAAGGCATTATTTTGTTTTTTTTTTTCTGGTCATGTATTTCGTTATTTTCCATTGTTCATTGTAAGATACCTAGTCCATCAATCATTTATTTATTTTACATAAAACATAAAAAATATATAATGAAGCTTTCGACCTCCTTCAAAAGGTCATTTTCAACACTAAAGTGATATGAAAAAAATTTGTAGCTAATATATCAAGTGATTTTTTTCCTCTTTTCGTTCTGCTCTGAACATTGTACTGAGCCTTCGCAGCACAATGTTCTTTTCAAATATGATTTAATTGAAATATCAGATAGTCTGAAAATAAAACAACAAGCAGTTTTAACACTGATTTCTATTTGAATACTACAGGGAAACAATGAATGTACTAAATTAAGTCTTTTTCTGTCAATAAACATATACACAGGTGACATGCTCGAAAAAAATAAACTCTTCAATAGAATAAATGTAATCCAGTCATTTGCAGAGAATATGATCCTAAAACACGATTTGTTCTCAAAATTTGATTGAAAGTCAAGTTCAATAGATTATTGATTCAAGCACCTAACAAATAATATTTCTTGATTGAATTCAATTGAATCTAACAACAAAACAAAACCAATAAGATTGCAGATGATAAACTCAAAATAAAATCACTTCGTGAAAAATATATTCGGAACCTCATTAACACATAAGAAGTACAAGATTATTATTAATTGTTATGGGTTCAATATTCAAAGTTTCAGGAAAAATCGAATACAATTGCTTTTCAATATCTTTTCCTTGGGTTCAATATTCGTCAATCGGCTATAACTCCCATGGTAAAAATGATATTTTACATTCATCCTTCTCAAAAATCTCTTCTTTCTCAGGACCAAGAAGACAACAAAACTGAAATATTAAAACATTATTAATTTAGTAAAATGCAAGCATTATTTAAAGCCAATCCAGTCTAAAGTAAAACGAAAATAGAAACATATATCTTGATTATTAACTTTTTTTTGTAAATACAATTTATTTGTGTTCGACTTCTTTATCAGACTAAACATTTTTTCTTCATTTTTTAATATCATGTCTTCGAAGAACAAAACGTGTTCTTAAATCAACATCTGGAGATATGAATTAGACATTTTGATGAAGATCAACTTGACCAGAATCTAATGATACTTATATGTACATCAGTATACTTCAAACCAAAAAATATTAAATCTATTCGAATAATTTGAACCTAGATGTCAAGTGCTTTTCTTAGTCGTTAAGTAAAATAAAAACCTTCGGCATTGTTTCATTGAAAAGTAGATCAAGAATTCATTTTCTTAGAAGCGCAAGAATTGCGAATAAATCCTCGTCAATAGTTTTTCTTTTTGAAGAGGTTTTCCATCGGTTTGAAAATTATCAAATTGATTTATTAGGAACTTTTCAAACAAAATAAGATAATTTGTTTTATTTAGAGAATAAATTACAAATATATTTTGCATTTCAAACTTACATGATATATTTTTATATACAATATTAACAGAAATTGTTGGAGATAATGTTATTCTACATTGATCTATTTAGTGGTGAACGAATTAACAAATCAATAAATGATCGATTGCTTTCCTTCGTTTCTATACACATGCTACACATAAAAATATGTGAAACATGAAGAATATACCTGTCTACACTCAAGCACGCGGAAGACGAGAAAGGATTTCATTTTATTGGATTTTGCGAAAAATTTTCTTGTAATCGATTACTCATTCTAGATAGAATGCAGCACGTTACTTAAACCAACCAACTTTTTTTTTAACACTGAGTGATCGATTTGTTTTTATCCGACACAGTTGTCCTCGCTCCATCCGAGATGTTTTCCTATTGGTTACATCTACCTTTATAATTATTGTCAAGTCTCTATAGATATTAGTTAAAGACTTCTGTCCACAAGATAAAATTGTCAATGCATGAAGTAAAAATTGAACTGTTCTCATAAAATAATAACATACTTATTAGAACGATTTCATTCATTTTGTTTTCATATCAATTTCAAATGAGAACCATAAAAGATCTCGAAATGAATTTTTTTAGATCTATTTTTTCTGACGAACAACTACAAATCCTTTTAGAAATCTGAATAGAGGTTTGTTTTTTAATTTTAATTCGATGAAAACTTCTCTTCAATCAGATTTTGTATATATATTTGAAGACAAATAAGTAAAAACAGTAGCTTGACCGAATGAACAACTTCAGAATTTATGACTAAATGTTTTCATGAAAACGTTCAGATTTTAATTTTCGAAATTTGAATTCTTGCTCGAACAGAAATGCGTGTATATATCATATTTCCTTTAAAATACATCATTTTCTTTAATCTTATGTCAATTAAACGAAAGAAAAGATTATTTGAAGCTATTTATGTCTGTATATATCAAAGATCTAAACAGACCTATTTTTCTTAAGCTTAGCCTACCCATGGCAAGCTGTAAATCTCTTCAGTCTGCCTACCGTTGCCTGTGTATTTTTTTTTATATGCTATCATTTCTATGATACTTCAATGGCAATAGTATTATGTCTTGATAACAGACAACAATAAATACTCATTTTTCATGTTACACCACTCAAGATACTCCACTGTGATTTTTAAAGCACTTTTTTATTGAAAATCATGAAAATTGTGACAAGCAGGCGGTCTGTCTATCCTAAATAGCCTACCTGGCCAGAGACGGGCAGGTCCAATGGCCTATTTGGGCCTCTGGTATATATCTATAATGAATTGATGACTTCGTTTAGTTTTTACTAGATTGGTTTAAGACAAAAATAAATTCATTAATTAACATTTCATCTAATGTATGTGCAATCAAATTAAATACTATTTCTCGACCGCATTGCAAAATGAATTATGTTTTAGAAATATCGTTCGATAAATATATTTTTATTCAGAAAAATTATCGCCAAGAAAAATCTTTCCAACATTACGGCAAGTTCTACATCGTCAGCCAGTGACCATTTTTTTACACAAGACATGTCTCTAAAATCATATACGTTGTTTTTGCTTCACCCGAACAGAAGTTTCTTTTTGAATACTATATTGGCTTTTATCATTTTCGACAGATCATTATGTTTATTCTCAATATCAGAACCCAAAATAGAAAATAGATAATATAAAAACATCGGAGAAGACGAATGAAAATTCTGAATGAAATTCCTTCTATTAATTAAAAGTTAATAGACCAATAATCGAAAAAGAAGAAAATGATAGATTAACA